TTTTTCAGCAACAATTTTAATGAAAATGGCAAGGCTATAGACTTGGAAAAAAGGGTAATTCCGCACGAGACATTTCTTTACCAGCAACATGGTAAATACGACTTTATATCTAGCATAAAGCAGGCTTAATCTTCAAGGGCAATCATTGAGACGATTTTATCTTCTAAAATTCTGTTTTTTTCAGCAACAATTTTAATGAAAATGGCAAGGCTATAGACTTGGAAAAAAGGGTAATTCCGCAACGAGACATTTCTTTACCAGCAACATGGTAAATACGATTTTATATCAAGTATAAAGCAGGCTTAATCTTCAAGGCCAATCATTGAGACGATTTTATTCTTCTAAAATTCTGTTTTTTTCAGCAACAATTTTAATGAAAATGGCAAAGCTATAGACTTGGAAAAAAGGGTAATTCCGCACCGAGACATTTCTTTACCAGCAACATGGTAAATACGACTTTATATCTAGGATAAAGCAGGCTTAATCTTCAAGGGCAATCATTGAGACGATTTTTCCTTCTAAAATTCTGTTTCTTTCAGCAACAATTTTAATGAAAATGGCAAGGCTATAGACTTGGAAAAAAGGGTAATTCCGAACAGAGACATTTCTTCACCAGCAACATGGTAAATACGACTTTATATCTAGCATAAAGCAGGCTTAATCTTCAAGGGCAATCATTGAGACGATTTTATTTCTAAAATTCTGTTTTTTTCAGCAACAATTTTAATGAAAATGGCAAGGCTATAGACTTGGAAAAAAGGGTAATTCCGCACCGAGACATTTCTTTACCAGCAACATGGTAAATACGACTTTTATATCAAGTATAAAGCAGGCTTAATCTTCAAGGCCAATCATTGAGACGATTTTTTCTTCTAAAATTCTGTTTTTTTCAGCAACAATTTTAATGAAAATGGCAAGGCTATAGACTTGGAAAAAAGGGTAATTCCGCACCGAGACATTTCTTTACCAGCAACATGGTAAATACGACTTTATATCTAGGATGAAGCAGGCTTAATCTTCAAGGGCAATCACTGAGACGATTTTTCCTTTCAAAATTCTGTTTTTTTCAGCAACAATTTTAGTGAAAATGGCAAAGCTATAGACTTGGAAAAAAGGTAATTCCGCACTGAGACATTTCTTTACCAGCAACATGGTAAATGCGACTTTATATCTAGCATAAAGCAGGCTTAATCTTCAAGGGCAATCATTGAGACGATTTTATCTTCTAAAATTCTGTTTTTTTCAGAAACAATTTTAATGAAAATGGCAAGGCTATAGACTTGGAAAAAAGGGTAATTCCGCAACGAGACATTTCTTTACCAGCAACATGGTAAATACGATTTTATATCAAGTATAAAGCAGGCTTAATCTTCAAGACCAATCATTGAGACGATTTTTTCTTCTAAACTTCTGTTTTTTTCAGCAACAATTTTAATGAAAATGGCAAGGCTATAGACTTGGAAAAAGGGTAATTCTGCACCGAGACATTTCTTTACCAGCAACATGGTAAATACGACTTTATATCTAGGATGAAGCAGGCTTAATCTTCAAGGGCAATCATTGAGACGATTTTATCTTCTGAAATTCTGTTTTTTTCAGCAACAATTTTAATGAAAATGGCAAGGCTATAGACTTGGAAAAAAGGGTAATTCCGCAACGAGACATTTCTTTACCAGCAACATGGTAAATACGACTTTATATCAAGTATAAAGCAGGTTTAATCTTCAAGGCCAATCATTGAGACGATTTTTCCTTCTAAAATTCTGTTTCTTTCAGCAACAATTTTAATGAAAATGGCAAGGCTATAGACTTGGAAAAAAGGGTAATTCCGAACAGAGACATTTCTTCACCAGCAACATGGTAAATACGACTTTATATCTAGCATAAAGCAGGCTTAATCTTCAAGGGCAATCATTGAGACGATTTTATCTTCTAAAATTCTGTTTTTTTCAGCAACAATTTTAATGAAAATGGCAAGGCTATAGACTTGGAAAAAAGGGTAATTCCGCAACGAGACATTTCTTTACCAGCAACATGGTAAATACGATTTTATATCAAGTATAAAGCAGGTTTAATCTTCAAGGCCAATCATTGAGACGATTTTATCTTCTAAAATTCAGTTTTTTCAGCGACAATTTTAATGAAAATGGCAAGGCTATAGACTTGGAAAAGGGTAATTCTGCATCGAGACATTTCTTTACGAGCAACATGGTAAATGCGACTTTTTATCAAGTATAAAGCAGGTTTAATCTTCAAGGCCAATCATTGAGACGATTTTATCTTCTAAAATTCAGTTTTTTCAGCGACAATTTTAATGAAAATGGCAAGGCTATAGACTTGGAAAAGGGTAATTCTGCATCGAGACATTTCTTTACGAGCAACATGGTAAATGCGACTTTTTATCAAGTATAAAGCAGGTTTAATCTTCAAGGCCAATCATTGAGACGATTTTATCTTCTAAAATTCAGTTTTTTCAGCGACAATTTTAATGAAAATGGCAAGGCTATAGACTTGGAAAAGGGTAATTCTGCATCGAGACATTTCTTTACGAGCAACATGGTAAATGCGACTTTTTATCAAGTATAAAGCAGGTTTAATCTTCAAGGCCAATCATTGAGACGATTTTATCTTCTAAAATTCAGTTTTTTAGCGACAATTTTAATGAAAATGGCAAGGCTATAGACTTGGAAAAAGGGTAATTCTGCATCGAGACATTTTTTTACTAACAACATGGTAAATACGATTTTATATCTAGCATAAAGCAGGCTTAATCTTCAAGGCTAATTATTAAGACGATTTTTCCTTCTAAAATTCTATTTTTTTCAGCAACAATTTTAATGAAAATGGCAAGGCTATAGACTTGGAAAAAAGGGTAATTCCGCAACGAGACATTTCTTTACCAGCAACATGGTAAATACGACTTTATATCAAGTATAAAGCAGGTTTAATCTTCAAGGGCAATAATTGAGACGTTTTTTCCTTCTAAAATTCTGTTTTTTTCAGCAACAATTTTAATGAAAATAGCAAGGCTATAGACTTGCAAAAAAGGGTAATTCCGCATCGAGACATCTCTTTACCAGCATCATGGGAAATACGACTTTATATCTAGCATAAAGCAGGCTTAATCTTCAAGGCCAATCACTGAGACGATCTTTCCTTCTAAAATTCTGTTTTTTCAGCAACAATTTTAATGAAAATGGCAAGGCTATAGACTTGGAAAAAAGGGTAATTCCGAACCGAGACATTCCTTTACCAAGAACATGGCGAATAGGACTTTATATCTAGCATAAAGCAGGCTTAATCTTCAAGGGCAATCATTGAGACGATTTTATTTTCTAAAATTCTGTTTTTTTCAGCAACAATTTTAATGAAAATGGCAAGGCTATAGACTTGGAAAAATGGGTAATTCCGCAACGAGACATTTCTTTACCAGCAACATGGTAAATACGACTTTATATCTAGCATAAAGCAGGCTTAATCTTCAAGGGCAATCATTGAGACGATTTTATCTTCTAAAATTCTGTTTTTTCAGAAACAATTTTAATGAAAATGGTAAGGCTTTAGACTTGGAAAAAAGGGTAATTATCTTTTTTGCAGGAAGAATTTTATTGAAAGTAGTAAGGGTATTGGCTTGGAAAAACAAGAGGTGCTTCACCGAGACATTTTTAACCAAAGATTAGGCAAATACTACTTTATATAAAGTATAAAAGAGATAAAACAGGCTTAATCTTTTTGTGAAATAATTGAACGGCTTAAATTCTGCTTTCTTAAGTGCCACTTTTTGTGAAAATGTTAGGGCGATAGGCTCGGAAAAAGGTGATTCTGGCCTGAGACATTTTTTTACAAAGAATCTGGTAAAAACGACTTTTTGCAAGTATAAAACAGACTTAATTTTCAAGAGCAATCATTTAGACAATTTTATCTAATAAAACTCTGTTTTTTGCAGTGGCAATTCTAGTGAAACAGGATGGCTTGGAAAAAAGGGGATTCTTGACTGAGAAATTTTTTACATAAGGGCTAAATTTAGTTGAGTAATTACTAAGAAGATTTATTTAAGATTATATTACATGTTTTGTAGTGACACTTTGGTGGAAGGGGTAAGGCTATAGGCTTGGAAAAAAGGCTGAACCTAGGCCGAGACATTTTTTATGAAAACATGGCAACTAGGACTTTATATCAAGTTAACAAGGGCAAAATCTTGTTGAGACGAAACTTCTTGCTTCACTTCTGTTTTTCTTGTATTGTTAAATGGCACAGCTATATGCTTGACAAAATAGGTTATTAAGGAGACATTTTTAACCAACAACATGGTGAATACAACTTTATATCAGGTATTTCAAAAACTAAATCGTGTTCAGCAATCATTGAGATTTCTCATTTTAAATAAAATGAATTCTTTTTAAAGTGAATCTTTCATTGAAAATCTAAGGGCATAGGTTTTGAAAAATGATGAAAAATGACAAAATAATAAAACATTCTATAAACGACTTTATTTGAATCGCACAAAAGGTTGAATCATGTTTAGCGATAATTGATAGCTGTCGATTTATGTAAACCTGTGTTGTTAAGAGTGACGGAGAAAAAAGTATGGCTAGAGTCTTGAAGAAATGGCAAACTTTCGTTCAAGATATTTTCAACCAAAAACTTGCTAAAAACTATTTTATAACAATTAAAAATGGTAAGGCTTTGAAAAGTGAGAGGTATTGGACGGAGATATTTTCATGCAAACACTTTGAAATTTGATCGGGTAGGCAGTCTTAAACATGTCGACAAAAACAATACTATTATAAGACTCAACACCGCCACCTCCACGATCGTTTATTTAGAAATATTAAATTGTTACTGGTCTAGTAGAATTCATGAACCTTTAAGACATCAAGCCGAAGCCTACTTTAAGCAACTCAATCCCACAAAAGGCAACAAAGATTAAGAGGAGAATTAAGCTTCACGAAATGAACTTTAGAATTGAAGAAAAACATTTAAGAAAAAGACATTAGTGCTTCATTATCAACAGGAGTATGAATATGAAAGCCACCAACAAGTAAGAAGTGCAATACAATAAACATCCAACACAATAAACGTTGTTTTTAATTTCACCACGGCAATTCTTACTGAAAAGTTTCCTACCCCGTTAACTTGAAACAAATTTAGTTGTTAAAGCAATTGACGAAATTCTATATTCACGAATTCAAGTGTCACAAAAATAGAAAACTGGATCGTCCAGAGTAAAGCATATACCTCAATCTGTTTCCATTTCGCGGACAAATTTATCGTAATCTTCTTCAGTCATCAATTCATTAAGCTCCTCTGGACTTTTTAATTTCATCTTCATTATCCAACCTTGAGGTAAAATTACACAACTATCAAAAGAAGAGGTATCAGCATTAAAACAGCAGAGTGGTGGCTTTTTTCTCTTCCTTTTGTTTGCTGCGGTAGCCATAACTTTAATCAAATATATAGCAACTTTCTTAGAGCTGTAGCCGAGAATGCTGCTTTCTTTGGAACAGTATTTTTTTTATTTTTTGATGCCACATTATACAGATTGGGAGATTGATTCTAGACTCCTACAATTGTTATTTGGACAAAATTGGACTTTTCAGTAGCATCTACATTGCTAAGCTATTCTATCTAAGAAGTTTTCGTGCTACGAACCTGGAACTTGGTTCAGAAATTAATATGAGAAGTGCTTGGCACACAGTAGTTATTTTAAGACAAAACTAGAAGACAGGTCATTTGTTCTAGTATTTGAGGAAGATATTTTCAATACCCTGGAGCAAGCATTTAAAATCAATGTGTTATTTGAAACTGCTGTTAGTGCTTCGATGCGGCTTAATACATTTCTTCTTGTTAAGATTTGGTAATTTCTATGTTTAATATTTTATTTCTCTTGGCAAGAGCCACAAATAAAGAAATCTAAAAAGGATACTGAGCCTGAAATCCCAAGATTTCACAAAAGAATTGAAATAGAGCTAGGAGCATTTGTCACTTAGTGTTTTTAAAATCACATCAGGTCTTTTTTCGCAAGTCTACAAAGTTGGTGTCACCACTTCTATTCAATGCTATTGGAGAACTATGAGAGAAGTCCTAGAAAGACTCCATGATCGGCCTGGCAAAGTTCTTGCAGAAAGAAACTTTTGGAAAATAAGGAATGCCGACGACACGACGATGGTGGCAAGACCCAGAGAGGAGTATAAGGAAACGGGCGAAGCATTGACGACCGTTAGCAAAGAAGTGGGCCTCGTCATCAATAAATTCAAAACATCTGCAATGGCAGTGCATAGAGACAGAGAGGTGGAGATTGATGGTGAAATAATTGAGCCAGTAAAAAGGTGAAATTCCTGGGCTCGTATATTACCCAAGAAAAAGACAGCAGTGCGGATATAAAGAGTAGAATTGGGCAAGCTAAAACCGTTACCAACATAACGGCAAAAATATGCCAGTCAGGAGAATTGAGCACTCGGCTTAAAGTAAGACTAGGTAAGGCTATGGTGTGGAGCGAAAACAAGAAGAAAAATGAACAATGCTTTTTCAATGTGGCTGTGGAGAAAAGTGATGAGCGTTAGATGGAAAGATAAAAGAACAAATGAATGGGTAAGAGGACAAGTAGGAGTAGGAGTAGATAATAGCATGTTGCGAGAAGTTCAAAAGAGAAAAATCAGAAAGAATGGCCACTGGAAGAGGAGAGGTGACAGCTTGGTACTTGCTTCGATTGAAGGAGAGCAAAGGAGGAAGAAGAAGAGTGGAATGAATGTATAACATCATAACATGGCAAGGTGGTGTGAATCAGGCTCATATACATGCTTATAAGAAGAGGTCAATGGTCCAAACTTGATGGACTATGGCAACATCATTCATTCTATAAATTATTCTTTTTCCATAATTCCTGTTATCATATCAACTGCTAGGAGAAAGTTGTTTCAGCACAGATTGATTCATACATTGATATGATTCCCATAGACGTAAAAAGTTCCATTCACTTGAGCATACAATGAGCATATGCCTGATTTTTAACCCTTGTGTTTTTACTGCCTGGAATTGCTTTATTTCTTGTTGATCCTTTCTTGTTGATCCTTTTTGAATATTTTCTTTAAGGCCGAAAAATGTTTCGTTATTCCTCTAACTCTAAAACAACGATTTTGCTCCTAACATAAATTACATAGACATCAAAAGGTGCATTTGGGATGCATTTACCACGCAATAAGTGGCAGCTTACAAAGACATTAGCGAGCTTCTACCAGCAGGCTAATGGTGAGTGTTTCACTTGAACTCAGCATAGACAGTTGCTGATATAGGCAATAACTTTTAAGTCCGATGAAAACAAGCTACAATAAACATTCATGGCTACTTGTGAAGGTATGAACATACAGGAAACAAAGACAAAGGCAAGTGGTAAAGCAACATACCTTCTTCATATGGCGAGGAATTAATTAAACCAGGTGAATCAGATAAATTGTCATTTACTTCTGTTACTGTCCCAGAAACAGGCGAGAACAGGTCACTGGCTGCCTTGACACTTTCCAATGCACCACAGATATCTGAAAAAAAACACATTATGCTTCTTAAATAGCCTCTCATCCATGACACCTTAGCCGACATTGACCCAAGTGAACTTTAAATTATCGAACATATTCCAACTGAACATAATTGAGATAAAGAAAGAGATAAAGAGATAAAGTAATTGACTTAAAATTTCAATCTTAGCCAAGACTCAGTATTTTTGAAAAAGTCAAAGATATTTTCAATTAATCAAACGAACATTCATAAACTGAAGGTAAGTCAAAAGCCTGCAACATAACATTACACAACAGTATCTAAGCCTTTATTGTTGGTTTTGATCAGCTTGAATATAGCTAGAGATTGTACTAACTTTAGATAAAAACATTAGAAATATGACCTTTTTAGGAAATGCATAGAAACCGGAAAAGCTCTTTTAAGCCCCCTTTTTTAAAGACCCTTCTTTTAAGCCTTTCCCCAACAGGCACCCACTAAATCACAAATTTTTGCAAGCAGCCGCCCACTCTTTTTAGCTCCCTCAAATTTCATATAAACTAGAAACAACAAGAGATAAAATGCAAATAACTAGCAATAAATAATCATTTTCCTTTTTTTACATCTACTAATTTTAACTTCATGTACTTTAGAGTTCACAGTTTCTGCTTTATTGATTGACTCCAATCCAGATGACAACATACTTAAAGACAACTTTTGCTTTTTGGTTAAACAGATTTATATGTTTCCATAATAGAATATAAGCTAACTATCACATAAGCATCATTAATAAAACACTAAATAGCGTATTTAAAGTGACTTTCCTAAACTAGCACCCCTCCATATCAAGCCTTGCTCTCCTTTTAGCCCCCCTCTAGAAGACCCCGGGGGCTTTCGTAGTAGCTGTATGTTTGAAATTGACAATACAAAAATAGTTTACACATAGAGCTTTGTTACTTAAACTAACCTCCTGATGAAAATTCACTGTCAACTTCTGGCAGATCAACATAAACAACATCACCGAGCTTATCCTGTAAATATTCAAAAAATCGTTTTAAAAAAACGTGTAAGGGAAAACAAAGCAAGAAATGTGTACCATTGTCTGTCATTCACATAAAATTAGATGTAAAAACTTTCCAAAAACATTAATTCTTAAATGCTACCAATGGAATTGATGACAAGACTCTGCAGTCAAAACGTTGAAAATTTGAGAGGAAGATCTGGAGAAATTGCAGAAGTTCTGGAATGACGACATGTTGACTTTTGTTGTGTCCAAGAAACACGATTGAGAGGAAAATCTATGGGAATGATTGAAGGAGGGAAGGCAACATATAAGTTGTTTTGGATTGGAAATGAAAAAGAAACTGGTGGTGTTGGTATTTTCCTGGCCGAGAAATGGATAAACAAAGTGATTAACGTGCAATGAGTGAATGATCGACAAATGCTGCTAAATTTGATACTTGGTGAGACAATACTGACAGCAGTAGCAGTTTATGCCCAACAACGTGGACTGAGTGAAGAAATTAAAGATGAATTCTACAGCAAGCTGAATGCAAAAACTGGAAAGTTGGCGGAAAAAGAAGTCGTGGAAAAAGAAGTGTATTCACTGCGGACAGGTGTATCAGTCTGATTGGCGGGTTAAAAAACTGAGATAGTTTTTTCCCTGAAATCAAACACCGAGCATAAATTACGTCATTGCTCAGGCAATACAAGGGCTGATGCACCTAAAGCCCAAGAGACGATTTTGGTTGGGCATTATCCAACAGCAACAAAATCTCCGAAATCGCCATTGTTCACTAATGATCGAATTTTTTTCAAGCAGAAAAAAAATAAATAAATTCTTTCTTTCAAAGCGGAGTATATCGGATTCGTGCAAAAGGGGGGGAAGGGGCAAAAGGGGCACTATTGGGGCAAAAGGGGGGGGAAGGAAACTGTTTTTACATTGCTGGCCCTTCCAGCATTTTTTAGGGTTAGTGGCTCGGCCCCTGAAGAATGAATGGCAAAAATTGATGTCAGACTAAAACAAAACAGATTTCTACAAATAGTGTTCAACTGATTATAAATATATATCGAGTATAAGAGTTTCAAAATGGGTAAGATCTATTTCAAGCTAGTTTCCTTTTTCTATTTGACTAATAAGTGAGTCTCATATCAGATGTAAAGGACTGACAAAAATGGATACCAGAAGTGAAAATTTTACCCTCCAGTCTTAGAACAATAACTAAAAAGATTTCCAAAATTAACAAGGAATAATAAAGTTCAAACATACCTGTGCATAATTTGTGATTCCAATTTTACCAATTCCATCTACAGTCTCTATCCATTCATGATCTTTAGAATACTTACGTTCTGTAAAAAATATTTAAGTATTTTTAAGCTGTAAGTCAGGAATTGCTTATAAAAATTCAAATTTTCAATTTTTCAAGTACTGCAGTTCACAAAAAATGTCTTTTGCTCTCTTAGCTGAAAAAAAATTAAACAGACAATCATACACTATCATATTCATTTGACATATTTCTCAACAGCACTGCAATCTATGATAAAAGAAGAGTTATGTGTAAACTAAATACCTTTTGAAATTAAGATTTTATCCCTTCAATATTTTGCACATGTTTTAAAAAGTGTTCCAAAGTAATGACATTGCAATAATCTACTTTTAGATCGATTTGGAAATGATTTATTTTTCAGTGCTTTGATGGTTGCTGAGTTGATGGAGAAAGATCTTTTGCCTGTGTGTCCATATCTGAACCAATTTCCACATTATACTAGGGTACTACAAGCAGACACAGATCTATTCAAAATTTTGACCATTTCTGTGGTTCTTGCCCTCACTACCTCTTAGATTTTTTTCTATATGTACCCTGTGTGTTACTGGTACATAATATTATTAAAAGTTGTACTGGTATTGAAAATTCACGAGATTAGTAAATTGTGTTTAATTTGTCATGCTTTATCTAAAAGGCTAAATTTTTGCTCCATTTCTATTCTTATTTTCATGGAAATATTATTATTCCAAAAGTAATGTTTAGTCCCTCAATAAAAGATCTCAGACTCTCATTTAAATCCACTTTTCATTTTTTTTAAGTTGTAACCAATGATTATAATACTTCCATGGTTCACCATGCTTTTGAATTATTGATATCAATTTTCCACATGCTTTTTAGCCATTGGTTCTCTTTGAGTAAAGGAAATTTTGGACATTGGTTCATAGCAGAAGCGGACTGGCCCACCGGGACACCGGGAAATTTCCCGGTGCACCCTCTGCCCCAAGTTATTTTGTTCAAAAACATGAAAATTTTCAAAAGACAACTAATCTTCGCAAAGAACTAAAATTGATTACAATCATCAATTGTCCAAAGTACGTTTGCATAAAAAGTTTAGCTTTACCTTTAAGTTGAGCAATATTAAGATTGATAGCAAAGTTTCCCAATCTGCAAATTCTGCAAGATTTTCTGAAAAACTTGTGAAGAACATATTTTGCTTTGAAATGACTTTGAAAAAAGCAAATATTTTAAACATACTAGAAGCTTTTTTTGCCTGAAACTCTTTAGAGTATAAAACGTCTTGTAATTTCTGTAGAGAGGTTTAGTAGGGATTTTCACTAGCTACCTAGCAGACTATAGACTGATGACTAATAATTTTGTGAAACCAATGACTTCTGACTAACCATATCAGTTTTTTGACTTATGGCTAATGCAACTTAATCCTAGTGCCTGGTAACCAACAACTAAGGGCTCGCACTTTGAAAAAAATTACCTGAGCACTACCCTGTACTCTTTCTAATCAGAATGGCTGTAACTGGATGAAATTATCGATGTGTTGGCTATTGGGTATGGGAACGTTCACATATTATGTAATCAAAGATGGGGGGGGGGGGATTTTCACAAATATTATGGCTATTACGGTCACTTTGGCTATTTGTTAAAGTTTGTTAAAATAGTTGTTTAGAGAAAAGGGAATTTTTCAGGTATTGCCGATTTTTGATTCCGTAATTTGTGCATATTCCTTGTGTTGTCTCTCTTGAATAATAGTCCTTTTTTCTTTGGGCCATCAACTATCCCTTGATAGTGAAAACTGCTCTAAGAATGGTAGAGGACAATACTTCCTGTCCGTGGCAAGCTATTATGTTCTGCAATACATCTAACAACTCATAGGCATCCTGCTTTTCGTACGTTAAAACCAGGAGTTTTGTACCAAAAGAAATTATCACTAACTGAAGTCAAGAATCTTGACCACTTTATTAAAATATTTATACAGAATTTGTTGAGGATTAATGCCCTCATGTAAGGACCTTCTAGAAAATTTAATGGAAAGTTAAAACAGGCTGTTTTGAAAAAAAAACTGGTTTCAAATTTACAACTAGCTATTAAAGTTTTCCAAGCTTTCTTCAAGATTTTGTCCCGGAAAGGAACTGTGTCTTTGCTTAAGAAATTCTTTATCCTTTCACCATTTCTACGCACAGCTTCTCATAGAGAGGGAGCCTATCAATCTGCAAAATCATCAATTTGCACAAAAATGATGGCAGCAAGATCTCTTAAAATCCATTTGTCCAAGATATGTTATCAGATATCTTTCAGACAAGTCTACGGTTTTGAGCACATGTTCAATACCTGATCATAATTCCGCACGCTGATGAACTGGAATCATATCTTTTGTAAATGATATGTAACTGTGGCGTGGAGGCAGGAGCAACATAGTCATTAGGCTAGCAGGTGCTGAGGCACCCCTTTACATTTCTCAATGATATGCTACAAAACTTTCAAAAGATTTTATGTTACCGTTTGATGAGAACGAAGTCATATATTTCGTCAAATTTCTAAATATTTCAAAATCGAGTTTAATCGAAAACAATCTCATCTCCTAGGCCAGAGAAGCTGCTTTCTTTGTAAAATCTGGGAAGGGAGTGTCTCGCTAACTGAAAAACGGGCTTTTGATTTGAGTCCAACTTTCAAAATCTATCATTTGATATCATCATTTGATACATAAAATTGAGGACAATACGTCATTTGATAACTACAAATTTTACCAGCCGTGTAGACATTTTAAATACAGTCAATTTGACAGAGAGTCTTCTTCATGCCAATACCAATTGTGGATAAAAAAAACTATGATTTCTAACTTTGGACATGTTCCAACATTCTAAATAGGATGTTTTCAAAATATTTTCCTGTGGCAAGCCCCTGAGCCCCCGTTTTATTTCCAACCTAGTTCTCTAATCCTGTTGTTAATTGCAAAGGGTCTTAAGGATGAATTATGACAATGTTTGCAACAAACTGATTCTCTGTTAAGGCACAATTTTTCGGGGCCCATTTTACAAGCCCCAAAAATAAGCAACTTTAACACCTATTGGCGCGCTTTTGCTTACTTTTCCGATGGGACGAAGAGTAGCCAGTCCGCCACTGGTTCTCACAGGTTTTCAGGAAAGAAAATCCACCGGCTTCAATACTGTAGCGTAGATAGCATACTGCAAACTGTCACTTCGAGTGGCAACTGACATCAAATTTACGGAGTACTTTAGGATCAAAGATAAATTGGGAAACTGGAAACTCTGTTGAAATCTCTGCAACATAGGAAGGCAGCCCTCATGAACTTGAGCGATTCAATTTATTTCACTAATACTTTTCTATCACTTTATATCCTGCTCTCATTCTGCTTGGGTTTCATTAAGCATGCAAACAAAAGAACGTTAGTAATGCAGTCAGTCACAAGGAGAAATACTAAATTTGTTGCAATTTTGGGATAAATTGATCAAACAGAAACCTTTTTATAATGTGTGATAGCTCAAAAAATTCCTTTCCAATAAAGTTGTGAGAAAAACAAATACATGCTAATTCCATATAAAACAATAAAATGATATTACTGCACTAACATCAACTGATATTTAGAAAGAAAAAACAAATCTTTAAAAGGCACAGCCCAGTTTCAGAGCGGTTCTATTATTTCATCTGCTTCTAAATAAATCATTGCTGCCTTTTTACTACTTCTTTCTACCTTTTTACTTTTTTCTCATCCCCTCACTCCTTGAAGTGTCTGCCAATTTATGACCTGTTTTTAAAGAATAATGAATTTCAAAAACACTCTGCAGTATGATACAAGAACCATAAAATACAGGCATCAAATCCTGGAATGACATTCTTATCATCATGAAAAAAGTATCCTTAACGATAAGTTTTCATCATAAACTAAAATCCATCTGTTCTCAACATATTATTTAATAGTGAAAGATGACGCCCTAGATAGGAAAGGATGAAGATGGGGGATCAAGAGGGGGACCATTGAAGGACATGCTGACACTATCCAATATCCTTTTTGAAGGAGAAACACCTCCGAATAGGCCTTTTGCTGTTGATGATGTTGATTATGATGATATTTTTCCTCAAAATCGTAGGCGTACGAGGTGAGTTCAGGTAGGGTGGCTGAAATTTTTTTGCCCGAAAAATAATAACGCCCAAATTTCTACGAAGTATACTCTACCACATGTAAGCTTCTGATATAAGTCAAGAAATGATTAAAATGCAACGCCCTTAAAAAAGGTTAACAATTTTTTTGCGGTACAGAATTTGAAAATGGCTTTGAAAAAAGCAAACATTTTACGACATACTAAAAGCTTTTTCGTCTGACACTCCTCAGAGCATAAAACGTCAGAATGAGGTTCCGAAAGAACACGATGGAAAATATATACCCAGTTGTGGATCGAAATAGGCCAATCAGAAAAACGCAAGCACAAGACCGGTATGGTTGACCAATCAGTGTCGCGAGCCTAAAGAAAAATTACCAATGGAGTCCTCCATTGAGAAAACAAACTCCTTCTGTCTACACAATGGCGGCTTTTTCGTTTTTATGTAGATCGACTCCAAAACTGCTAATTATGGACGACCGGGCTCTGCCAATTATCCGAAACATGTCGTCATTATAGAGTTTTGCACAATCTGGGTTGTCTAAAAGATGTTGACCGATGGCAGAATCACTTGTTTTGACAGTGTTTCTAGACCTACAAGATCGAGGAGGCTGTTCTCTTTGAGGGGCAGTTTTGTTTCTTATGTTGGAAGGAACATACTGCTTTATCCTATTCCCCAATCTTTGGGTTGTGCGTCCTACGTAGCCAGAATCACACTGGCACGAAAATTCATAAATGACGGAACTTTTTTGGTTGGTAGGAACGCAATCCTTTTGAATAGATGGAAGGGCTCTCCTAATGCTGTAAACAATCCGAAGATTGACAGCAAAGAAACATTTGGTTATGGCTTACCTAATCTGACTCTCGAATCGCAAGAAAGTGTTACCAATCCATGGTAGTTTCAAATAAACTGGGCACTTTTGCGGACCAAACTTTTGAACAGCCGAAAAAC